TTTGCCTAATAGTTATTAATTGGGTATCCCCATTGTATAATAATTTTACTTAGAAATCTCATACAATCTACGAAAAGCTTTAAGCAGGTAAGTATATATATAAAGATTTTTTTATTTGATGGTATACAAGTGAAGTGAGCAGACTAACAAAAAATATGGTGAGTTATTGCGTTATGTATTTTTTTATATTTTGTTTTTCTTTTTTATAGATGATTATAAAAGTGACAGATATGAATATTTAAAATTTTACAATAAAGATTTGATTCGTTTGTTAATCACGCTATGAAATTCAAATCAAAAATAGGTAAATTGTTGTGTTTTAAAGGTTTTCGTCATATTTTTAAATAAAAAAACTTTGCTGAACTAAAAGAATTTGTTTCAAAAATTTTGTTTATCCTTGAAATTACAGCAAAATAATTAAATTTCCCTACTGTTTTTTTTAAAGGCTTTTGCGAATATAATAATTAATCATCTGAGTGCGATGTAGACATTCTACTCGAGTTGTACAGAATATTTTTTCTACGACCCACCAACGAAAATTTACAAATAATAAAAATATTTTAGCTTTATAATACAAAATAACTAATTTTAATATAATAATTTGTCTTTCAATAAAGTAACAAAAATAAAATAACGGGTGGTTCTGTGGTTAGCGTACTTGCCTTCCAAACTGAAGAATCGAGTTTTATTCTCGAATAGGGAAAAATTAAATAAACTTTTTTCTTTTTACTTTCCTATCTGTATACAGATATAAGGAAAGTATAGGAATCATGATTTTTTTCGACCTCGAGTTTTCGACGGATTTTTACGTTTTGAGGTCCCCTGAATCCGTTTTGACTATTTTCGCGATAATGTCTGTGTGTGTGTGTGTGTGTGTGTGTGTGTGTCTGTGTGTGTGTGTGTGTGTGTGTGTGTGTGTGTGTGTGTGTGTGTGTGTGTGTGTGTGTGTGTGTGTGTGTGTGTGTGTGTGTGTGTGTGTGTGTGTGTGTGTGTGTGTGTGTGTGTGTGTGTGTGTGTGTGTGTGTGTGTGTGTGTGTGTGTGTGTGTGTGTGTGTGTGTGTGTGTGTGTGTGTGTGTGTGTGTGTGTGTGTGTGTGTGTGTGTGTGTGTGTGTGTGTGTGTGTGTGTGTGTGTGTGTGTGTGTGTGTGTGTGTGTGTGTGTGTGTGTGTGTGTGTGTGTGTGTGTGTGTGTGTGTGTGTGTGTGTGTGTGTGTGTGTGTGTGTGTGTGTGTGTGTGTGTGTGTGTGTGTGTGTGTGTGTGTGTGTGTGTGTGTGTGTGTGTGTGTGTGTGTGTGTGTGTGTGTGTGTGTGTGTGTGTGTGTGTGTGTGTGTGTGTGTGTGTGTGTGTGTGTGTGTGTGTGTGTGTGTGTGTGTGTGTGTGTGTGTGTGTGTGTGTGTGTGTGTGTGTGTGTGTGTGTGTGTGTGTGTGTGTGTGTGTGTGTGTGTGTGTGTGTGTGTGTGTGTGTGTGTGTGTGTGTCTGTGTGTCGCATAAATCATGAACCGATAAACAGAAAAGCACCAAATTTTAAACTTAAGCTTTGTTCCAGCCTCCAATGAACTGATTAGATTTTGGACAGAGTCGGAACATCTGAGGGGGTACTTTATAAGTGGTAATTTCTATATTTTATGGAATATATCTGTTATTTACATTTAAAGAAGAAAATTTTTTAAGTAAAAGTTACTCCCAATATTATTATCTATAATTTTTGTTTTATACAAATTTTTCTTAAAATGGTCCGTATTCGAGAAATTTGATGAAATGTAAAAAAATAATTTTTTATAAAAACTGTTTAAATAAAAGTTGTTTGTAATATAATTCTCTATAATTTTTATTTTATACATAATTTCTCTAAAATAGACCGTATTCGATATATTTGAGAATATGTGTAAATTTTGAATTTTGAAAAAAACTCAAAAACGTATAAAGAAAAAAACATTAAATTTAAAACATAAATTTTATTTTGGCCTGTCGTAAAGTGATAAGATTGTGGACAAAGTCGGAATATCTGGGGGTGTACTTTATGGGAGGCCGTTTTTATATTTTATGGAATATATCTGTTATTTATATTTGGAGGAGAAAATTCTTCAAATAAAAGTTACTGCTTATATTAATATCTATAATTTTTGTTTTATACCAAATTTTCCTGAAATGGCCGTATTCGAGAAATTTGACAAAATGTGCAAAATTCTGAATTTTAAGAAAATTGTTGATTTAAAAGTTGTTTGCGATATCGATCTTTAAACATTTTTAAACATGATTTTTCTAAAATGGACCGTAATGGAAAAATTGTAGGAAAAGTGCTATATTAAAATTTTTCAGTATTCTCGTTTTCAATGAATATCTATGGAAAAATGTTTCGAGGTAGATGTATGTGGAAAATGTATATATTTAGTTTATCCTCTAAACATTTATAGAGGTGTTGCAATAGGTTGCGATAACCAGAAAATGCCTATAATAACTAGATAGGAAAGTCATGTGTTGGATACATCAGATTTTTTTTTTGTTTATTTTATTTTAAAATTTATTTAATGTCATAAATTATTTTAAAATTAGTTATTTTGTCTTAATAACCTAAAATATTTTTTTCATTTGTAAATTTTCGTAAGTGGATCGTACAAAAAATATCCTGTACAACATCGCACTTAGACGATTGAGCACTCCGCCTACGACGTCGTGCTCAAATTTCATCTTCGTGCGATATGGCCATCATATCCACTCTTGTTGCACAAATTACTATTTTGCAGTTTCCTCAGTATCTAGAATAGATTCGAAATATATTCGTCCAGTTAAAGGCAATAGAATTATTCCTTTTATAATCTATAGGTAGATAAAATAATATCCATATAGTTGTAGGAAAAATAAATATGTATGTAAAATCAATTTAATTATGAGTATTAAATGAAAAAAATTAGTTAGTTTATTAGCGCAAAGTTAGAGTACTCAAATAAAATCGGAAAGGTACGGGGAAAACTCTAGGAATGAAAATTAGTTAAAACCTTTTTTAATTTGATTTTATAAATTATTTAAAGTCATAAATTATTTCTTAAATAATTATTTTATACCAATAACCTCACTATTAGTTTTTAATTTTTTTAGATTTTTGTTAAAAGGTTCTAGATAAAACATAACGTATAAACTAGCGTAAATTTTCTGTATCGTAATTAGGGGATTAAACACTTTTTCCTATCAAACTTCGTGGATAATAGTGTGTTCGTAGATGGCAGACTTTTCTATTTGTCCTAAACGTAACTTTGTTTGTATTCTGTTATCCGTGTACTACTGCTTCTCTTTGTCCTATGTATACTTTTTCATAAGTGCTTGGAATTCTGTAAACTCCTGCCGATATCAAGGGATCTCTGTAGTCTCTCGCTCTATTGAGGTAATCCCTTATTTTCTTTGTTGGCTTGTAGACAATGCCGATTTTCTTTTACTATAAGATTTTTTCAATTCGGTCAGTGATACCTTCTACGTATGGTAGATAGATAGTTCCTTGGTTTTACTCATACTAGACCCATTCTTATTCTCGCTTGGGCGTATAGCATGAATTATTTCTTTAGCTTGTAAGACTGTTGACAGGTGTTTTATTTCACCATTGATGTGTGTTGTTTCATGTATTCTTAAGGCTCTGATTATCAAAGTGTTGATAACCGTGCGCTATTGTTTTGGATGATAGTTGTATCGATATTGTAGATATAGATCAGTGTGTGTATTCTTTCTGTATACTTTGTGGCCTAGTTTATTATCTTCTAGGCTGACTAACACATCTAGAGAAGCAATTTATCGGTTTTCTTCTATTTTCATGGTGAACTGGGCTTTAAAATGATAACTGTTTAGATGGTTTAGCAAATTCTGGATGTCTTTTTCGCGGTGGCTTTAGATTACAAATGTATTATCTGCATACCTCGGCCAATGCTCGGTTGTTTTTCAGCAGTGCGGATAGTTTTTTTTTTTCAAATTTTTCCATGTATACATTGGCTACAACTGGACTGAGTGCACTGTTAATGGCGACTTCGTCAATTTATTTATAAAACGTTTGATTTCACTGTAAAGATGACGTTGTGAAAGAGTTTCGGAAAAAGTTAATAAGCTCTGGACACTTGACTATGTAACTGACTACTCCTTCAAGTGGCACATTTGTGAATAAAGAGATAATGTCAAAGCTAAATAAGATGTCGTTAGGCTCTAAGATGATAATTTTTAAGTGTTCGATGAAGTATGTAGAGTCTCGCACGTAGGTTTTTGTCTTGCCTACGTGTGCTTGTAGAAAGACCACGTCATAACAGCTCGGAAACAAATAATTACACTGACCATCATATTAATATTTACTCCTGTTACACAAGCCACATGTACATTATCTACCTATTCAATACACAGACTACAGAACGATTGAGTAGGACATATCAGTCTATTAATAAATCACAGTTCATATTTAATTTAATTTAAACTAAGAGACAATACTTGTGTCAAAATAATTTCAAGCAGATTTTTTTGATTGAGATTGAATATAAATGAATTGTTCTTGTAAATAACCAATAAGCTAAATCTTTGTTTATAGAAAAGAAACTATGAATTTTAATAAAATGAAGTTCCTAGCGCAACAGTTTTTAACATAAAGAATTGCAATATAGTATGTGCTTGGTTTAACATTTTTCTTTTTTGCATATTTTTTACTTATTTATTCGAGTATATCTGTTTTATTTTTTTTTTATATTTTTTGTTGTCATCATTTGTATATTATTTATAATATGAAAACTGTCCTACCCTGTAACTGAAGTTATCCATTTGGTAGTCTTATAAAAGTCTACTATAAGTCTCATATAATATCCTAAACACCGAATTGAATATGCGTAGAACACACATAGGTAGGCAATTTAAAAAAAATAAAATTTCTTAAGAATATTAAGCATTATTTTTTTGATAAAACTGATTTTTCTTAATTCAAATGTGATTAATATTAAAATACCAATAAAGTTAAAATTTTCATTTTTTTTTTTTTCAGAAATTCAGAATCTGCTATATGATTTTGTTATGCTATGTAACAACGCAAACAAATACTGAAGAAGTCAAACATGAACATTTAAGAGTCAATCTCTCTCCTAAAGGCATAGCACTTCTAAGGCCTCCGCCATATTCTCCATCACATCCAGGTTTCAAAAAATACAAGCGGAACATTTCTCTACCAGATAATGTTAAAGATATAGAAATGGAAGATGAACCTTTAAGAGTACGTCGTTCTCCTCGACGTTTTACTCCATCTACTCCACCTAGTCGACCACCACAAAAGCCAAGTCATAAAAAACACAAGCGGGATGTACTGCCTGAAAATATTGAAATCAAAGATGAACAATTAGGTAACGGTCGCTCTCTTACAAGCGCAGGCGATGTAGAAATGGAAGATGAATTTTTAAGGGTACGTCGTTCTCCTCGACGTTTTACTCCATCTACTCCACCTAGTCGACCACCACAAAAGCCAAGTCATAAAAAACACAAGCGGGATGTACTGCCTGAAAATATTGAAATCAAAGATGAACAATTAGGTAACGGTCGCTCTCTTACAGGCGCAGGCGATGTAGAAATGGAAGATGAATTTTTAAGGGTACGTCGTTCTCCTCGACGTCCTACTCCAGTAACTCTTCGACCACCACAAAAGCCAAGTCATAAGAAACACAAGCGGGATGCACTGCCTGAAAATATTGAAATCAAAGATGAACAATTAGGTGACGGTCGCTCTCTTACAAGCGCAGGCGATGTAGAAATGAAAGATGAATTTTTAAGGGTACGCCGTTCTCCTCGACGTTTTACTCCATCTACTCCACCTAGTCGACCACCACAAAAGCCAAGTCATAAAAAACACAAGCGGGATGTACTGCCTGAAAATATTGAAATTAAAAATGAACAATCAAGAAACGGTCGCTCTCCTACAGGCGCTGGCGATATAGAAATGGAAGATGAACCTTTAAGGGTACGTCGTTCTCCTCGACGTCCTACTCCAGTAACTCTTCGACCACCACAAAAGCCAAGTCATAAGAAACACAAGCGGGATGCACTGCCTGAAAATATTGAAATCATACATGAACAATCAAAAGAAAATATTCAAAATATGGAAATTGAAGATGATCATTCAAGAGAACGTCGCTCTCCCAAAGGCATAGGGCGTCCTAAGCCTCCACCAACTCGTCCAACATCACGCCCAGGTTTTAAAAAACACAAGCGGGATATTTCTCTCACAGAAAATATTAAATATGTAGAAATAGAAAATGACCCTTTGAGGGTACGACGTTCCCCTAGACGACCCAAACCAACTCGATCACCACAGCGTCCTAGTTCTAAGAAACACAAGCGTGATATACTGCAGATAGAAAATATTCAAAATATGGAAAATGCAGATGATCATTCAAGAGAACGTCGCTCTTCCAAAGGCATAGGGCGTCCTAAGCCTCCACCAACTCGTCCAACATCACGCCCAGGTTTTAAAAAACACAAGCGGGATATTTCTCTCACAGAAAATATTGAAGATGTAGAAATAGAAAATAAGCCTTTAAGGGTACGACGTTCCCCTAGACGACCCAAACCTACTCGACCACCACAACGTCCTAGTTCTAAGAAACACAAACGTGATATACTGCAGACAGAAAATATTGAAAATATAGAAATTGATAATGATCATTCAAGAGAACGTCGCTCCCCTAAAGGCGCATCACGTCCTAAGCAGCCTCCACCAGCTCCTCCAATATCACGCCCAGGTTCTAAAAAATATAGGCGGGACATTCCTCTAACAGAAAATATTGAAGATGTAGAAATCCAAGATGGATCTTTAAGGGTACGACGTTCCCCTCGACGTCCTAAACCTACTCGGCCACCACAACGTCCTAGTTCTAAGAAATACAAGCGTGATGTAGTGCTAAAAGAAAATATTAAAAATATGGAAATCAAAGATTATCATTCAAGAGAACGTCGTTCTCCCAAAGGCGCATCACATCCTAAGCCTCCACCAACCTCTCCAACATCACGCCCAGGTTCTAAAAAACACAAGCGGAGTATTCCTCTTGAGAAAGCATAGGACGCCAAAAGCCTGTACAATCTCTTCCATCATCGTAAGTTCTAAAATACATAAGACTGATATTCTGCTAAGAGAAAATATGGAAAACGAAGATGAACTTTTAGTCCCACTAATTGCAGATGCAAATGTACTAAAATTCCTTGAATTGCATTTATTCGTTCACCCAATATGTTATTTTACTTTTTAGATGAAATATACAACCATACAGTTATTGGTAAATTTTCAGGAAATGAAAAAATTAAAATGAAATAAAAAATACCACCTTAGATTTTTGCTTATTTTGACCTTCTCAACATTTTTAAAACTATATATTTTGATATAGAATAATTATGTATCAGATATGGATATTTTAAGCTGATTTTTCACCACATTAATACTAAGCAAGAAATCTTATGAACAAAACCGTTTAAAATTTATATAAATATTCACATATTAATATTAATCATTTAATAGTTATTTATTTATGTATCAAGGGCGTAAAACAGGCGTTTAAGGACCGCAACGTGTAAGTAATAGCCCTAGCCGCTAGCTATTAACACGTAAGGTCCATAAACGCTCTTTACGCCCGAAATACATAACAAAATTTTATGCACGATTCTTTAGTCCATAAACAAATATACCGAGTGTACTACTAGTACTTAATTGTTTATTATATCAATTTGTGTTATAGACACGTAAAAAGTTGTAAGTAAAAGTTATATGGATTTGAAAGATACATTTTTTAAAAATATTTTTGGATATACAGAGTGTTGCGTTTTTCCAGGCAAAATAAAAATTTATATTTTTCAAATAGAACACCCTCTATTTTATTTTATTTTTAGAATGGTTCGGTAATACTGTACACAACCCTAAAATGTTTTAAAAAAATATAAGTGTTTTTTTTTTTTTTTTATTTGGTGTCATCGGCGTCGACTACTACGGCCATTAGCCTCGTGTTCTGTGTAGGCTTTGTTACTGTTTCCCAGCGACACTTTAGGAACAGCACTGTTTATTAGAACCCAAGAGTGAATGGTCGAGTGGGGAATACTACCAAGGCATCAGAATTAATTTTAAATATTTAAATTAAATGAAAAAATCCCGGCCAACGGTGGGATTCGAACCTGAGACCTTCCGATCTTAAACTCATGACTCTAACCACTGAGCCAACCCACCACCTCAAATATAACAGTGTTAACAAGCAATTTATTTTTTTTGAAATTAGAAAATAATGCAGACCCCAAATTAAATGATCATAATTTAAGTAGGTTTACATTGATTTTAAAATTGTTTAAGCTAATAAATAGTAGTTATAGAACTGGTTTATTTTATAAAGAGTGTTGTGAAATATGTCTTAAATATCGCTAAATTTAAGTTCAAATATATTATTTTAGCATAAAATTTCTCATAAATTTACGTGTTTAACGATACCAAAATATTAGTCAATAACAGATATACAGGGTGTCCCATCAGAGCATAATTGATCGATAGCTGTTTTATTATTGGAAATACGAAAAAAATAATATAAAAGTTGTATGACCATGTTTAACAAATATTCTTAAATAAACAGGGTGGTCCATAAATGAGGGTCTGACCAAACACATACGCATATACATTTTTAAAGCAAAACATAAAAGGTAGCTAAACATATTTGTTTATTTGATTGTTTTCACATCGTCAAACAATATTAATAGACTTCATTTATTTACTATCTTGTATATAAGGTGTGTCAAAATGCGGGATAATGATTTTTAAATGAAATACCTTATATGTTATACCACCAAATAATTAATACAGAGTATTCCATTTACAAAATTGAGAAAATCTTAACCTCACGTTTTCACACCCTATATACAACATAGCAAGTGAATTTTATTAAAATTGTTTGACGATGTGAAAACTATCAAATATGTATAACTACTTGCTGGGGGTGTTTTATTTAAAAAAAAGTATAGATTTGGTAAGCACCTCGTTTATGGACTATGCATTACATAGTCCAAATGGCATGACATTGAATTGCCACAATCCAGATCCGGTGGTAAAAGCTGTCTTTTCTTTGTCTACTGGGTCCATTTCTACCTGCCAATATCCAGACTTTAGGTCTAAGGTAGAAAATAGTTTACTTCCGGCCAATGTGTCCAAGGTATCGTCGATTCGAGGAAGAGGATAACTGTCTTTCTTGGTTACATTGTTCAACTGAAGGTAATCCACACAGAACCTCGTAGTTCCATCCTTTTTCTGGACCAGGACTACCGGAGAGACCCATGGGCTGGTAGAAGGTTCTATCACCCTGTCTTCCTTTATTTCCTGAACAATCCTTTCAGCTTCCTTTCTCTTGGCTTTTGGTAATCTTAGAGCTGATTGACAACTCGGCCTGGCGTCACCAGTGTCAATTTTGTGTTTTACAACAGAAGTTCTCCCTGTTTTTCCTCCTTTTGGTACAAAAATGTCACGATACCGTCGAAGAAATTCCTTGATTTTCTGTTTCTCTAATGGATTCAGAGATTGACCAGTAACTGCAATCATTTGCTCAAATTTTTTGTTGGAATTATCAGAAGTTGTTGTCTGACGAATTATAGAAGTTACTGGTACACAAGTTCCGATTCTGGTCTCTTTCTTGATGGTAATCGGTTGATCATTAAAGTTTATGAGACAGACTGGAATTTCTTTAGCAGTCGTGACCAACCCCTTTCCGATCAGAATGCCTCGTCCAACCTCTTCATCGTGGTTCCAAGGTTCCATCATCACAGGTGTTCCTTCTTCCATCGTTTCTTGAAGCCGTGCTACTATAACAGTTTCACTTCTGCCAGGTACCACTGTATCCTCCTGTACAGCAACTGGCACGGTACTGTCCCCATATGGATGTAGGAATACCTCTTCGGCACCAACTTTAATTACTCTGTTTTTAAAGTCCAAATGGAAACCATGTAAGTTCATTACATTCATTCCAAAAATAACATCTTCTTCGATATCAGCGACAATAACAGTATGAGTGAACTTTTCTGTACCAATTCCCAATTGAACCTGGATTTCCCCATGGATGTTGGCACTTTCACCTGTGGCAGTCCGTAGTCGCAATCTTGTTGGTAGAAGTCTCTTACAGTTCTTTATGGTTGTTGGTCGTATAATGGTCCTAGTTGCTCCAGTATCCACCAACAGTGTATACTTTTTACCATTTACTTCGCCGTCTACGTATACACTATCATCGCGACATTTCAAAGAGGCTATCAGTATGAGAGGGTCTTTGGAACGGTTTCGGGTCGAAGCTGCCCCCTCTAGGCCGACCCGCTCTAGTTTTCCTGTGGCGTGTTGTCTTGATTTGTTGGGACCCTAGGGCGTTTGCACGAACCGCGTACATGTCCCAGTTCACCGCAATTCCAGCATCTGATGGTCTTCGTCTTTATCTTTTTGTCGGTAAGGCTCTTCATCATGTTTACCAGTTGGTCGAGTTTACCTTCCTCTTCTTCTTCTCTTACAGTCCTTACTTTACTGTATCCACCAGAAGCCTGCGTAGCTGCCTCATATTCTAAAGCAGCGGACAAGACATCGACCAATGTTTTGTGGCGAGCTAAGCGGAGTGTTTTCTGCATCTCATGGTCATGGAGTCCATCAACAAATGTTTTGACTGCCAAACATTCCATCATGTTTTCCGGAGCTGATGGATAGGCAAATCGCACCAACCTAACAATATCTACTTCATATTCCTGAAGAGTCTCGTCTCGTTTCTGTTTACGATTCTTCAACTGTGACTGGTATAAATGCTCCAAGTGTTCGTGGCCATATCGCATATTTAGTCTCTTTTTGAGTTGCTCAAAATCATCTGTCTCTTCCACGGGTATAGTCTGAAGGACATCCAAAGCGTCTCCTCGAAGGGCAATGGTCAAATTTATTGCCTTCTCTCGTTCAGACCACTCGTTTGCTCTGGCAGCTGTTTAGAACTGCTTAAGGTAGTTCGTCCAAGACATCTTCCCGTCAAAAGTTGGGGCTTTAACACGAGGAGAGTTTACAGCTCCTTCCATTTTCAACTTCGACTCCACCTCATGGCACTTTATTTCACCGTTCTTGGTTTGGTCTACGTGTTCCATTTCTTCAATCTTCTTTTCCATTTCTTTTATTTTCTTCTCAACGGAAGAAATCTTATCATCCATAGAAGAAATTTCGTTTTTCATAGAAGACATTTCGGAAGATACTTTTTCTTCTAAAGAAGAAATATTAGCAGAAAATTTATTTTCCATAGAAGATATTTTGTTTTCCAAGTCGAAAGAAATTTCATCTTTTAAAGAGGAGATATCAGAAGAAACTTTAGTTTCTAAAGAAGAGATTTTATTTTTCACGGAAGAAACATCAGAAGACACTTTTTCTTCTAAAGAAGAAATATAGAACGAAACTTTACTTTCTAAGGAAGTAATATCACTTTTTATAGAAGAAACTTCTGAAGAAACTTAATTTTCCAATGAGGAAATATTAGAAGAAATATCAATTTTCATGGAAAACATATCAGAAGAAATTGAAGAAATTATAGCAGATGCATCATCCGAAAATAAATACGTTTCCTGATCCAAACTTTCCCTTCCCTGTCGTCTCCAGTTCACGTTCTTCTAATTCTCGACGTAGCTCAGGCACTTTTAAATCACAAAGTCTTTTAGCCATTATTGTCCACTATTTATTTACACTATTCCACTTCCCGACACCAATGTGATGTTTGTTTATTTTCTAACAACAGTTTATTTATTAATAATTTATTTAAACACTTATTTATTTTAAACAATACTATTTTAATTTATATATACTTCGAATGTCTTTAAACTGATCACTATTTATATTCACCACTGTCTATCTACTAATTACTATTTATCTTCACTGTCCATATAACTGCTGATCTTGATGGCTCTCCTCCACCAATTTATATACAAATTGGTGGTCGAGAATGCTCCCCCACCAAAGTTGCCAGAATGTACCAGAAACGTTATCACGTTCTAGAAATAGTATCTCGTTGACCCTGGAATGTTCGCGAAAGTGTCTCCACCATAGTCGTCCCATAGGTTTGGTCTTAAGGGGTTTATTTATGTATAATAATTAGACAAGTTGAGCCACAAAGGCCAAATAAGACAGAGAGGGACTTGTAGGGTTAGAGCATGACTGAATAATGAAATGGCTCACATAACAATATATTTATTGATATATTT